TGCCACCATACCCCAGTCTCAGTTGCCATCTCAGTGCACCCCGGGGGCAGGACCGGCATGGGAGGCGGGGATCGAACCCCCAACCCCAGTGCGTGCGTGCGTGCTTGCAGGAGCTTTAATCTGCTGAGCTATTTGGCCAGCCCAGCCTTTTCATTTCAAAATCCACCCTTTTTGTTGAATGTAGTTTGTAATTGCTCTTGCAAAATGTGAATAGCAGATTTAATTGCAGTAATTAGACAATTTCTAAAAGTTGTTTATTTTTTTCCTCCTAGTCATTGGTTTTGATCAGCAAACTACCTTACATTCATTTTTTTCACACTGTGCTGAAACAGATAGCACCAGAGTATTTTGAAAAGAATGAACCTTATTTGGAAGCAGGTAAGTTAAATATTGTATAAGTTATATACCTTTATGAAATTTTTAAACTTTTACCAAAAAGTTGATCTTAAGAAATTGGAAGATAATATAAGGATTATATGATGGAGAGATGCAAAACTATTTGGCATCTTTTTCCTACAAACACCAAAAATCATACTTGTTCTTATCACCTCTCAACATAGATGGTGTCCATTTATTAGGATAATAAAGAATGAATTTTGAGTTGCCAGTTCACACAGTACCGTGAAATGGAACTTACTAGTAATTTGATATAACTGGAAGGCCCCAACCAGATAATGTGCACTTGTAGCTAATTTAATTAACTGATTAAGTTTGGTTTGTTTTGAGACAGAGTCTCTCTTCCAGCTGACCTTGGACTCATTGTGTGTCCAGGCAGGTTTCCACAATGCAGTGATCCTCCTGGTTCATCCTCCAAGTGTTGGATTACCGGAAAGTGCCACCACACCAGGCTTTTAATTTTAGCTAATTTTAGCAGTAATAAATCAACAGAAAAACTTCCTTTAAACCTATTCATTTGTTTCTTTCAAAATTTTATTGCCATTCGTGGCAGCACATGCCTATAATCTTGTTGACGTGAGAGGCTAAAGCAGGAGAACTGAAGTTGGCTGCTAGGCCAGGTGCCTCAGTGAGATCCTATCCCTAAACAGCACAGCAAAACAACTAAAAAAGTGCAGTGTACGGTAGTCTAACTCAGTGGTTAGAGGGCTTGCTTAACATCTGTGCCGTCCTGGGTTCAATCTTCAATACTGCTAAGAAAAAAGTATTAACCAATTTTTATTCTACCTAACATTTTTTCCTAGTGAAATGTAAGATATTTTTATCACAGTATTTTTTTTTTATGAGCAGAATATATTTATTGAGGGAAAGAAAGCTCCTGTCCAAGAGAGGGACAGGAGGGGAGGGGGGCCGAATGGGTAGTTCCCCTGGGAAGTTGTCTCTTGCAGGGACTTTTATAGAGGAAAACCCTGTGGTGAGGCAGGTCTAAGGTGGTGGAGAAGACATGGGAACTTGCTTAGTTGAGCATGAGGTGGGACAAAACTATGGTCAACCAATGAGATTACAAGCACCACTGCTCAGGTAAAATTGATTAAATCCAGTAACAAATGGGAAAGCAAGTCACATAGCAAGCGGGCACCAATACGGAACAGGGTCTCTTCCTGTTGGGGGTTGGGCTAGTGACTCATTTGGGCTCTTTCAAGTTGATTGATACTGTTTAGGATATCAATCCCTGATGCCCATCCCTAGGGAAGGATGTAGCTGTGCTTCCTCTTTTTGTCTTGGTCTTCAGGCGTGGCCCCTATGGGAGTGTCTGACTCTTCCAAGTTGCAAAGTCACCTTGTCTTCCATCTTGTCCCCTTGAGAGCCTGACCCTGTCTAACTGCCTATAATATTTCTGTCTAACTTGGCTGCCTACAACATTCCCTCTCTGAAGAAGTAACCTGAACTGCCATGAGGGAACTATGGGCGATGACCACTCTGGCTTCTTCAAGCTGAAACAGCTTATAGTTGTTGACCGTCAGTCAGATATATTCTTTAGAATATATCTATCTATCTGTCTAAAGGCCCTCAATAGACACCACGCATTTTCATTACAGCTTTGAATCTGAAGAAAAAGGCAAAGTATTAAACATACATTGGCCAAATAAAAACACTAGTCAGAACCACAGTATTACTTTTACTTTCTATTCTTCCCACTGTATTTTTCCTGCTTTACAGAAAGTAGAGTTTAATTTGTAATGCCTTATTTTAATACTTCAATATTTTTATAAGAAAACATTTTGCTATATTTTTCAGCGTGTAATGATGTTGACAGATGGCCTGCCCCAGTGCCAGGGAAAACACTGCACCTGCCTATCATGGGAGTGGTAATGAAGGTAATGGCGCACAGCAGTGGTGGCAAGCCTGTTGTGTGCATGCTGCTGTGTTTTTATTTAAGACAAAAGTTGTTAATATATGAGTTATATTTTCTAAACTAAAATCTCAGTATTCAAGTTTAATTGCAGTGTTGGCAGTTTGTGATAAATAAGTGGGTTTTGGGCTGCAGTTTGGGTACTCATCTCTAAAAGACTCACCATCACTGATATATAGCTATCTCACATGTCTCATGCTGTGCTGTGCTATGCTGTGCTATGCTATGCTCTATCCTATCCTTTGTCCTACCCTATATCCTATCCTATTCTATTACATTCTCTCTGTCTCTTTCTTTGTTTCTTTCTTCTCACTATGAAGTTCAGGCTGTTCTTGAACTCACTACATAGCCCAGGCTATCCTCAAACTCTCAGTGATCCTCTTGCCTCGGCCTCCTGAGTGCTGGGATCACGGGTGTGTACCACCACACTTGGGCCTACTTGTCTCTTTTTAAACAAAACTTTGTAGGTAGGACACTAGAGAAGCCGAGGCAGGAGGATTGCTCTGAGTTTGAGGTCAGACTGGCTTATAAATAAATAAATAAATACAAAAATAGAATAACTTGTAGGGAAGTTCACACATGGGTTTTGCTTTCTTAGTAATATTTTTCAGTGTTATTGCTTTCACTTGTTTGTCATTGATGTGAGGTATTAGAGATACCAAACCCGTCCTGCTTCATACGGCTACTGGTGACACAGCCCCACAGGTCTGCAGTCCCTTTGTTTCCTGTGTGAGGCCTGTGAATGCAAGTGCTACTACCTCCTAGGACTTTGTGCTCCAGGTCTGTCCCTCCCAGTGCCTTCAAGGATCGATGATAGCAGAAACAGATTACTTGAAGAATTACGTTTCAATTACTGAAAATTTAGAGACATTGGGAGAGCCACTGGTTCTTAGTCATAATCTTATTTGTTTATTTATTTTTTAGACAGAGTCTTGCCTGTAGCTTAGGGTAGCTTTGAACTCGCTGTGTAGTTCAGGCTGGGCTTGAACTCGCAGGGATCCTCCTGCCTCCCAAGTGCTAGGATTACAGGCATATGCCACTCTGCTCAGCGGTCGTAAAGAATCTCAACGTGCTCCTCCTAGGGTATTCTCTGTTAGGGTTATTTTGTGGGTTATTGCTTTTCTTTTTAAAAAATAGCATTTTACTCTTAAACCTTGTGTGAGTGTACTTTAAGGTCTTTGCAATTTGCTATCAAATTGGACTTATATTTATTCTCTCTGTAGTCTTCCTCATTTTTTGTATATTCTATTTTTTCTGTGGGAAATCATTAAAAGTTATACTGATAGCCCTGGGTTGAGAGTGCTCATTGTTTCCTGTGACATTTATCCAAAACTTTGGCAAGCTCTAGGGTGTGTTTGGGTGTGTGTATTAGTGAAACAAAGATTAGAACAATAAACAGGAAACAGTGTGATGTTGATGTCCTTTTTGTGGACATCAGTGTTTTTTGGTACATTTACTTCTCAGTAGGTGAGTGGTTTCTTTTTGTGAATATGGACACCTTGTACTTTCTGCGGTGACTAAAAATGAATTGAGCTGTAGGTTTTTCATATGACAAAGTTTTTTGTTCATTGCATCTTGTTTTGTTTTATTTATTTCAGACAGGGTCTTGCTGGTAAGTAGTCAGACTACTTCAAATTCTGTGGAGATCTTCCTGCCTGGGATTATAGGCATGCACCACCATGCCAGGCTAATCTGATATATTTTTAAATACCTTTTTAGGCATTGATGAG